GGTTTAGGGTTGAGGGTTGGTTTAGGGTTTCGGGGTTTTGGGTTGAGGGATGAGGGTCGGTTCGTGTCGGGGCCTAAATAATTACCAATACTATTGTGGGGGTTCCTTATTATAGTTATAGTAGAATGTACCACAAAACCCTATTTGACTCAGTAAGGCCTCTGTATTAGGGTGTTAGGGTTGTGGCTTTAGTGTTTAGGTTTGGTTTAGGGTTGTGGGCTTAGGGTTGGGGTTTGGGTGTAGGCCCAACCGCATCGTAAGGATTCCTCTAAGGGGGTGTAGTATCATATGTATACTATCTGTATGTAGATGCGAACTACTGGGCCTATATACCTCCGTAGTGGCGGAGGGGGACTGACTTGACTGACTGGCTGACTGACTGACTGGTTGGAATGCATGAAATACTGTTGCTGCATGAAGTGAAATGGCAGAGAGGAAACGCAGGGAAGGAAAGTGCATGAAAGGAAGGACGTAAGGAATGAAGGAAGGAAGGAGTAAATCAATGAATGGATGAATGAACAAAAAATGTTGAATGAAACGAACTGGGGTAGACTGGAATGGAACGCATGAATGAATGAATGCATGAATGAATGAATGAATGAATGAATGAATTCATGAATGAATGAATGGATGACTAAAATATGGATGGAAGCGTGCAAGGATACTTGAATTAATTAAAAAGAAAGATTGAATGAATGACTGACTGAATGACTGAATGAGCGAAAGAAAGAAAGACTGACTGACTGACTGACTGCATGCATGAATGAATGAATGAATGATTGATTGATTGTTTGAATGAATGAAGTGAAATGAATGAAGAGTGCACGGAGGAAAGAATGCATGAATGAGTGATCTAATGAATGAGTGAATGAATGAAAGAATGAACGAATGAACGAACGAATGAGCGAATGAACGAATGAACAAATTCATGAATGGAGGGATGGATGCATGGATGGATGGATGCATTAACGAATGCATGGATGAAGGAAATAATGACTGAAACAATCATTCTTTCATAGATAACTACATCCCTACATGTATAACCTACGTAGGTAAATGCGCCTTTATCTAGGGTAAGGATGTCTACCTTAAGGACGAAATGAACCCTAAAAGGGTTTAAGGTTCATATACCATATAGGGATTCATAGTATAAGGGTATAGGGCCCTACTTTTAAGGGTCATCTGGTCCTTAACCCTAAACCCTAAACCCTCAACCCACGTTTGCTTTACCTGACTAGGATGGCGGCTCTCGACGTACTCTGTTGCGGCAGTGGCAGCGCACATACCATCCGGCAGCTGGGCAGGGCTTCAGTTCTTTATAGCTTGATTTCCTAAACCCTTTAATCCCTAAACCCTAGTCTTTAAACCCTAAACCCTAAATTCTAAACCCTAAACCTAGTCCCTAAAACCTAATCCTTAGACCCTAATCCCTAAACCCTAGATACAGGCCCATTAATCCCTTGAATATATTTGTACGGTTTCTGAGCACGCGAACCCTTATAGGTTCCTAGCACCCCCGATGCCGCTAGTGTACGGTGCTGGCTGTGAGGTTCGATATCCCCTGTATGGCTATGGTCGACACGGTTTAGGGTTAAGGTTTGGGGCCTATAGTAGTCACCCATGATTCAGGTTTCGTCTTGATCCGAACCCCTAGCCCAGGACAAAAATCCCGGGCGCAGCAACGAGGTCCTCTGTCTGCAACTTGCTCTGGGCTCCTTGTACACTTGGGTTCAAGGAGGGGACAGCTAGGCATTCAGGATCCCGGCTACATACTGTTTACTGGAGCCTTAAACCCTAAACCCTAAGCCCTAAGCCCTACACCCTAAACCCTAATCCCTAAACCCTAAACCGTAATCCCTTAACCCTAAACCCTAAACCCTAAACCCTAAGCCCTAAACCCTAATCCCTAGCCTAAACCCTAAACCCTAAACCCTAAACCCAAGGCAACGAGAAGCCCCAACCTGCATACATCGGAAGCTACCAGAGCCATCAGGACGAAATGACCCTTAAAGGTAGGGGCCCCATACCCTTATACTATGAATTCCTATACTTGGAGGATCATGG